AAAAGAAAAAAAAAAAAAGAAAGAAAAAAAAAAAAAAAGAGAGAGAGAGAGAAAAAGAAAGAGAGAGAGAGAGAGAGAGAGAGAGAGAGAGAGAGAGAGAGAGAGAGAGAGAATAGACTACTGGAAGTAAATCAAGAACATTTAACTGAACTAACATTCGTGTTTAGATTGTAGATACATGTTAAGGATCCTGATAGAGTTTAGGCCTACAGAGAAGGCCTTGCAGACTTCCATCCTTCAAATGACTGATTCTTTTGAATGGTGAATCAATCATTTGAATTTCTCTCTTAGACTACAACAACAACTACTACTATTATTATTATTATTATTATTATTATTATTATTATTACTATTATTATTATTATTATTATTATTTATTATCATCATTATCATTATTATTATTGTCATAATTCTGATTATAGTTCATGTGACATGGCAATGTCTTTCAGGAAGACAAAAAGAACATTTCAGTGAGTGTGAATTCGAGGTGTTAGTGTCTGAGGTGGAGGCAAAAACAAAGATGCTGTTTGGCATCTATAATTAGTATTTTAAAAATGACTGGCAAAAGCAGAATTTGTGTGCATCATTTAGGCATTTTCAATTTTATTTTGAACTAAAGCTCACATAAACTTCCCAAGGAGTTCTAATGCAAAAATATTTAGATTAGTTCCATTAGACAACATGTACCACATTTATTTTTTTTACATAAATCTTTACATCTGCTAGTAAAATAATTAAGACAAAGTTAAGAGGTTTACACTTGCACAACAATTATGAATTTAGACATCCATTAATAATTACTTTACAAGTCAACACTGTAGCCATGACATCATGTGTCACATCTATTATTTTTTTTCATATAAATTAAGACAATTTTGTCACAACAACTGCAGATTTTTGGCATGACAGTAAACAGGACATTCAGATTTTGCATAAAGCTACATGACTAAAACAACACAAGAAGCAACATTACTTGTAATTTACTGAAATTCTCAGTGTCAAACTGAACTCAGGTTTTTCAAAGTCTTCACAATTTTCTCATGAATAAAATATTTCAACACTAACACATCTTTAAAACACTGCTGTGAAAAAACACATTTTTCAGTCTATTTTAGCTGCTTCTTTTTAGCTGCTATGCAAAAATGCCAGTTTTGTAGAAAGAAATAAGAAATGATCATATTAAAATGACTGCATTGTAATGTTAATGTCAGTGCTGGATTCAGAGTTGTGTCTGATAAATGAACACCTTCACGCGCAGATAACATTACTAGGAGAACATTAAACATAACAATTCTACTTGTTACATGATGAACTTGAATTGAGCACAGCTCTTCCTGTTAGTTCAGAGACCAAAAGAAACAAACTCAGAAACTTTTCAACTAACTAAGTCTGGCAACTTCTGTGTCTTTGTTCATGTTTGAGTGTCTGTGGTCCATATCTGGTTCAGAAAGCTGTGATTACATCTATGTCTCTTTGGGGACCTGACATTGCTAATGAATGCATTTTCCTTACTTTAAGCTTGACCATATCCAAAAGTGCAAAACATTTCCGTCATATTGTTCCCATGCCTTGCAGTCCGTCTAATAAGATCATAAAATCACCACAGTGCTTTTTCTGGTTCCATAACTATAGAGTAACATGGAGGTACTACATTTCTCTCCTGCTTATGAGAAACACAAATTTAGCTACTTTGACATATTTAAGGTTGCATAGAAGACAGATGGCCACTGGGTAGAAAGTAAGACAACCTCCACTACTGCAAGGCTGTTTTAAAACTCCACTTTTAAACAGTTAATGCAGGTTCTACGTGAGGAGATAGCTGGACTGATTAACCCGCTAAATTCAACTCTGAGTGATTCCTGATTAATCAGAGGTGAGGCACAGCGGCGAGGCACAGCAAACATCAATTATGAAATGATATGCTGCAAAATATAAAATTTATATTCAATGTACTGGTGTGCAACACTTAGAATTTGTTGTTGTGGCAGATTACCCATGGAGTAATTAGCCATAAAAATGCATTGTATTTGAAACATGTCATATTCAAAGTTTTAACAGATTTAGCCTACAATGATGTGAATTAACTGGTGAGTGGATCTGCATTCTGGACTCATTGGCATTGTTTTTAAAATTCTATCACAAATTTTATTGTCTGTCCCAAAGGTGACAGAAATTCACTATAAAACACATACATTGAAGAAAAAAAAAACCCTGCCCATCTTGTTGGACTATTAAACTTTAAAGACCAAAGTAGAATAATGAGAAAATTGCAGATGCAGGAGATTTCTTCATAGTATCTACAAGCTGAGAAATGAATCAGAACTGAAATAAGAAAATCAAGATCTTTGGTGTTCAGCAGTCACAGTAAATGTGTGCATCGTATATTTTTGCCAGGTTAAAATTAAAATTCAAATAAAAAAATGATGTAATAACATTGCAACAATTATTATTATACAGAAAAATAATTTAGATCTTGTTATGCAATTTTTAAAAATCCATCCATTCATTGTATTTTGGATGTCTTTTAAGGGTGAAAAACAAAAATCATTCCTCACATGGTTTATTTTCATTTTTGGGAATATTGAGGTATTTTTACTCCCACACTGGCGCATGGCAAATGCTGGATATTAGTTTTATAAATCTAAGAATTAAAAAAAAATCTGTGATGAAAACCATTCTTATTTGTGATACTTTATATAGAAATAGAAATACATTCTTTAAATATATAAATTACGTGCAAATTATTGTTCTTTTTAATAATTTGATAGGAAATAAAAGATTTTAATTAGAAATTTAGAAAAAGTAAAATATTTTCGTGTTGTTATCAAGCATAATTACACAGTGTGCTCTATCGAATTATTTCAATAAAGTGACATTCACGGCATCTACTTTGTGCAAGATGTTTGGTTTGAATAGCAAACCATTATTAAATAACGTTCGAGACGACGGTGGCTGAGGAGGTAGGAGATCATTATATAATCAGAGGTTGGTTCAAGCCGTCCGTACTTGAGTTCCTGGGCTTCTCATTGGTAGCAGCCTCGCTTCATGTTAAAGCTTTTGAGTGCCCAGAACTGAGCGAGATGAGTCAGTTGTCATTAACTGATGTTAATTGAGTTAAGCTTCATTTGATTGTGCATTTCATAAATTATGCACATAATTAAATAAATAAATTATTAAAATAAAATATACATTTTTATTTAATGTATCTGTCGTATATTAAAATAAATAACCTTTTTTTCCTCACTTTGTGCCACTTTTGCCTTGCAAATAGATTTGAACCCATCAGTAATAAAAGCCTGGTTCTGTACACTGTATCTCTTGCTTATCTCGCGTCAGGAAAGTTGGGATGCACAATGTCCCTGAGAACCACCATCTCACGCGGCCGCTCCTGGTCGCCTCTGTGCCCCACGCGCCAGCGGAGCAACTTGAGCAGCGCCTTCCTGAGCTCCACGCTCCGCAGTCCGTACACCAGAGGGTTGATGCAGGGTTTGACCAGCAGCATGACTAGCAGGGACACGTGGAACCCCGCCGCGGTCGCTGAGGGGCCGGCAAGGCAGTCCTCCCGAGACCCGGCGGACAGCTCGATGACACCGGTCAACCACAGCGCGCCCGACGTAACCTTGATGAGCAGCGGCAGCAGCTGCAGGAACAGCATCCCGCAGTAGAAAAGGACTGTCCTTCGCGCCGCGGTGTTGCTCTCGTTGAACGGCACAACAGCGTTGCTGGCGTTGCGGTACATCCTGAAGTATGAGAAGGCGTGTGCCAGCAGGCAGAGCAGCAGCGTGAGGGAACCGGCCACTTTTCGGAATATAGCAGGAGCGCGCGGGGAGCCCACGTGCTGCTCCATGATGTCCGGTTCACACAGCAGCCCCACGGTGACGTCCGGGATATTCTCCTGCCTTCCCTTACTCAGCACCAGACTCAAGCTGACGACGCTGATGGCAATAGAGTACAACCAGATGAGGACGATGACTTTCCTCACGCGCTCCCGGGTGACCGTCACTGTGTATTGGAGGGCGTAGCACACGAACAGGTACCGTTCTAGCGCCATGCAGGTGATGGTGGTGAGGCTGGAGAAGATGGTGGCTTCGCTGACGACGTACTGAAAGTAGCAATAAATGCCGAACGCCATGGTTTGGTGCTGCGCGAGCGAGTGGATGATCGCGGGAGCGAAGGTGACGGTCTGGAGCAGGTTGCTGAAGATCAGGTTTTTACAGAGGATGAACCGCGGCAGCCAAGAGAAGTCCTCCGACCGCTCGATGGTGTACAAAGTGAACAGGTTGGCCAATAAAGAGAAAAGAGTCAGGAAAGCAAAACCGCAAATGAGCGCGGGAACTGCCGGTTCGTGAGGAATGATGGAACTGAACAGGTGTCCGGCTGTGGCCAGGTGACCCGTCTGGTTCTGGGTGGACCACAAACACCGAGAGCTGATGTTCGGCGCCTCCGCTACCTGCATCCCAGGAAAGTTAGGCATTCTCATCAAAGTAGATTCAAAGGACCGAAGTGCTGTCCAGTCACCTGTAACCACTTGTGAGATGCTGCGCTTCTGTGTGCCTCAGCTTCGCCGCTTTATCGGATCCGAGAACCCACCCACTCTAATTACTTCTAATGATAAATGATGGAATGGAACAGGTCTCCCGCTGTGCGCCAGTCTTTACAGTGGCACTTGGAACTTATGTCTCCTGCCTGTGATATCAGCGTCTCAGAAACGTTTTTCCATTTTCATCAAGGTAAACTCTCAAAGAATCTATTCTCAAACAGCTGTGTCCGTATGTAAGGCTCTGTTTGCTCTGCTCTGCCTCCAGCAAACACTTTTATACTCTGACCCGGTGGAACGGGCGGGCATTGGGGGGGGCGGTACCTGGCCAGAGTCAGCCCAATGAACTAGAAGCAGTTTTTTTTTTTTTAAACCTCATAGTGGCCAGCTGGCAGGGGTGCAAAAAGGGGGTATGCAGCGCATGCAACGCATAGGGGCGCTGCACCAGAGGGGGCGTCAAAACCCCGTCTGGAGGGGGCGGAGCGCCGATGATGCCTTCGCATACACTTCACCGCGCCCTTACGCTCCTTCCCCTCGCGTACGTGTAAATGTAAATGTAGCGAGTTTTACCTTTCACGTGTCTTCTTCCTGGGAGGGGGGGTGGGGGGGGGGGGCGATTTATGTTTTCGCATCCACCTGAATAATATGTAGTTGAGCCCCTGCCAGCTGGTGCTGATCAGGGCCGGCCCAAGGCACAAGCAAACTAAGCAGTTGCTTAGTGGCTTGCTTAACAACGATTTCTATGTCATTATGATAACAAAAACGCACAATTTCATAATAAAGTTTTGTTTTCTTTTTACAATAACATGGTTTTCATAATGTATGTAGAAATCATTCTTTTATGGACAGAAATAAAAAAAAAAAAAATTGCTCTTGGGGGCCTGCCCCTGGTGCCCACGGTAAGTCACGCTTCACCTATAATATGAGCTGCAATGTGCAGTGCACTTCCAAACCTCCAAAGCACCAGTGGAAAATGAGTTAGCAAAACAATGTTGCAAAAAAGGACAGAAAAGAAAGGAAGAATAGAAAAAAGACAAGAAAGGTAAGATTTACTGTCTCTTGGTAATGTAATGATTATCAAAAACAAAAACATCAAAAACTGCAAATAGAAAATTAGCTTGATAGCGACCTTGAACAGTCTCGTTCAACAATCAAACATTTTGCTACAATGTTTGTATTTGTGTGTATGTGAGCTTTAACTTTAAATGAGTTGATTCTTGTGATTGTATGTTTCTGACGGGGTTTTTTTTGGCTTCAAAATGGCATGTTTGATAATGTTTGATAATAACTGAAACTTCTCAATGTTTGACATTGGTTAGCAAAATGTTTCTACATCAGGCTACAAAGCTACTGCATCAATGACCTGCTCTATGCTGTAGTTGGCGATATGTGTTGTTTGCTGCTGAGCATAATAATCTATGTATCTAAAACAAACATAATTTTTACATCAACTTCTAAAGTATGTGAAACTTCTGTTAAAACTGTTTGGAGGCTCAGACTCAGCCCAGATCCGTCCACATTCTCAGGCGAGAAAGACTCACCTGGTTTAAATTACATTTTTAGCTATTGGAGTGATGCCTAAGAGAAATTAATTTAATCAAAGAATGTCATGACTATGTGTACATTACTACATCTTAAATAGGGCTGACCTGATTGCAGTTTTCTGCCCGATCGCCGATTATAGATCTTTAAAAAGCTGATTTTGATTTTAGCCGATTCCAATTTTTTTGTCTGAAATTTTGCTAAATATAGCAAAAAGTCAATGAGTTGGCAACAATGGAGTCACTATTGTTAACGTGCAGACATGACCTGGTGGGCCGATCTGTCAGCCAAACCTCTCACTGTAAAGCAGAAGACGACAGTATCTGATTTTTAAACATTTGCTGAGGAAGATGAGATCAGGTGATAAGATCGGCTTCTTATCCGATCTTATGCAGCGCATGCAACGCATAGGGGCGCTGCTCTGGTGATTGGCCAATACTTACATGTGTAAGTATCGGCCAATCACAATTTCCCAAAATTAAGCAAATCTGCGCTCATAAATTGACTGGCCGATAAATGTTTCCTATATTATACATGCATATGGGATATAATGTAAACGGCAGTGTCAGATGTGCAATAAGTTTATGAGCAGCACTTCCACCGTCACTTACCACGACCTGCCAGTTGACCTACCACAGCTGCAACAGCCTGCCTTGACTTGCCAGTGGACCTGCCACCTGCCATGGCTATTGGTGGATCTGTCACAGATTAGGAATGGCAGCTTCTGTCTTCGGTGACATAGGTGGAACCCGATTAAACTTACTAAAGAAATCAACTCACTTGTTGTAAAAGTGAAATATGTAAAGGTGCTAAGATTCAGGTCTTAGGACTTATGCAGAAGAGGCTTCAAAAGTATCGGCGTGACCAACGATGCAACCAAAGAAAGTGACGGTCGTAGAAGCACACAGCTGTGGTTGTCAGGAATGTAATAAGATCAAAGATGACACTTTACTCATGAGGAAAGAGGACTTTATTT